GGGGGGGTGCGTGGTGTTTTATCATTTCCGAACGTGGACATGGTACGAACAAGACATTAGAGCAAAGAATTACAATTTTACAACATGTGAAATGCGATGCCTTAGAAAAGAAGCAAACAAGACCAGGCGAGAGAAAATTAGAATCACAGTAGTAATCAGAGAAATGGTTGGCACAAATGATGTCTTGCATGCATCACATCCAACACGAAAGAATCAAATGGTTCGGACATCTCATGCGATTACCAGCGCGCCACCCAGGCTAGAGGGCGACCGAGAAAGACCTGGATAGGTGGAGTCAGTTAAAACTAACTACTCACGGCATCCCCCTGCCCCAAGCTCTCCGGCTGGTGGCAGAGAGACGTCTCTTTCTTACCGCGACACCGAATAGGGTTTAAGCGGCGGATAAAAGTAAAAGTAAAGTAAGATATGGTAAAGTTGTCTGTGGTCTTAGGGTTGTCGCTGTTGCAGATGGATGGTGTAAGTTTGATTCCTCAAGGCGGGTGCTCTGGTGTGGTCTGCTCCTTCTTTCCTATCAAACATACACCTATTGCCTTTAATTATCCCTTCTCCTTTAGGGTGTAAATTGTTACTCTCTCGTAACCCCTCTAATCTTCGGCACTTATATGAATTGAACCTCATTGTGGTGAAAGTGCCGTAAAACTCTTATTTCTAAAACTAAACGCTTCCCAAACGAGGACAGTTTTGTTTGTTTTATTGCTTGTTTTATTTATTTTTCAAATTTAATTTAAGTGGTTCAGTTTGTCTTATTGGATGGATGTTGATTCAAGTCAAGTTGTATCCCTCTCAGCCAAGAGGAGTATAGTTCCAGTTTCCAGGCGGTCGAAGCATCCCGCCTCTAAGCGGCCTAAATTGTGTCGATGAGGGTTTAAATCATTAGCAATTGCATGGTAAAGTTGTTGTTATTGTTTGACTTTTTAGATTATTATAGTTATGGTTCAAAATTCCCCCTCCCCCCTCCCCCCTCCTCAAGAAAATAAAAGTATCTTTTGTGAATGGTCTCATGACCCATGCGACCCACTTAAGTGGCCTCAGTGAATGAAGACCCGAATTTGCATACATACTACTAGGTCAAGTAGGCCTAGCCTAAATTTTGAAGGGGGG